GGGGGGGGGGGACTGGGAGGACCTAGAATACTAAGGAAATGATTCAGGGGTTAAGAGCACTTGCTGCTCTGTAAAAGGACCCAGTACTCACACAGCAGCTAAAGACCATCTGTAACTCCAGTTTCAGGGGTCTAACACTCTCTTCTGACCTCCAAGGGTATTGCATACATACACATGGTGCACATGTATACATGCAGGCCAAACACTCAATGCACAAAAATATCTCTTGATTTACTTTAAAAACATTTGTTTTATTATGTTACAAATGATGTGCATAGAATATATAACATATAATTATATATATGAGTGTTCTGTCTGTGTGTTAGTCTGGGAACCACTTGCATGCTTGGTGCCCTTGGAGGCCAGAAGAGGGCATTAGATCCCCCTGGAACTGGAGTTATGGATGGTTATCAGCACCATATGGGTGCTGGGGACTGAATCCAGGGATTCATGGGTGCTTGACAAGGAATTTACTAAACCACACTCCCAGCCCCATAAATCTCTCTCTCTCTCTTTTTAAAAAGATTTATTTATTATGTATACAACATTTTGCTTCCATGTATATCTGCACACCAGATCTCATAACAGATGGTTGTGAGCCACCATGTGGTTGCTGGGAATTGAACTCAGGACCTCTGGAAGAGCAGCCAGTGCTCTTAACCTCTGAGCCATCTCTCCAGCCCACTTTTTTGTTTTGTTTTGTTTTGTTTTTCGAGACAGGGTTTCTCTGTGTAGCTTTGCAGCCTATCCTGGCACTCGCTCTGGAGACCAGGCTGGCCTAGAACTCACAGACATCCATCTGCGTCTGCCTCCCGAGTGCTGAGATTAAAGGCATGTGCCACTAAGGCCCGGCTCCAATCTCTCTCTCTCTCTCTCTTTTTTTTTTTTTTTAAGATTTATTTATTTAATATGTATACAGAGTTATGCCTGCATGTATGACTGCAGGCCAGAAGAGGGCACCAGATCTCATTACAGATGGCTGTGAACTGCCATGTGGTTGCTGGGAATTGAACTCAGTACCCTGGGAAGAGCAGCCAGTGCTCTTAACCTCTGAGCCATCTCTCCAGCCCCCCCCCCATAAATCTCTCTTAAAGGCTATGAATTTAAGTGTGGTGTGCTGGTGCATGCCTATAATCTTGATATTCAGGAGGCTGAGGCAAGAAAATCATCATTTCGAGGCTAGGCTGGGCTCCACAAAGTTCCAGGCCAACCCCAACTGCATAGTAAAAGCATCTTTCAAAAAACAAAACACTGTCAATCCCACAAGTGCTCGGTAAACAATGTATTCCTACATAATCCAATACTAGCCTTAGATGGAGACAGGAGGTAGCAGGCGTCAGATAAGAACGGGTATTAAGGCAGAACATGAATGGGAATAAAGCAATCAGAAAAAGGTATGTGTGATTTGAAGCAGTGCAGGTGCAATGCAGAGAGTAGAATAGAAGGCATACACACAGTGATGAAGAAATGGTGGTCAGGGCAGGTGTCACGTCAGGGTGCACAGAAGACCAGCAGAAGAAAGGGACAGTCAAGTAAGATGTGCTCTTCGGCGGGGATGGGATCCACTTAGCATGGAAGGCAGGCTAGGAGACAGCCACGGACGCCACATTGGCTGTTAATTAGCACAGAGCCGAATCAAACCACGGGCTCGGCCTGGGGGGCGGGGACGGCACAGGGAGGGCCTAGACCAGGAGCATAAACCCAGGCGTGAAGGTGACGCCTGCCCGCGGGGACTCAACACAGAGCAGCGTGATCGCATCCGTGCTGGACTCGAG